TATACAGGGAGATCATTGAATCAGCTATCTCTAAAATGATCTATCCCCTATTCAATACCCTTCCTAGCATCCACCATTTGTTGGGTTAGAGCTTCCAGAAGAAACATCTCCAACCATTTTGTTCAATAGACATTAATAGAACTATTATCCATGAATTTATCTAGTCCCTTTTTGAATCTGACTGTGCTATCTTCCTCAATCACCTCCTGTGGCAAATTGGGCCACAGGTAATTGGGCCAGGAGAAAATCCTGGGTCTCACACAGTGCCTTTTATTCATTTTTTATGAAATGTTGTCCATGTCAGTTCAAGGTGCACACTTGAAGAGTTATAATTTCTTTTCTAGTGTACTATCAGCACCATCCAGTCTATGTTTCCAGGAGGAGCATGCATGGCCAGACCAGGAAGAGCTGCTGCAGGAATAGGTGCTCCTACCTGCTTTAGGGTTATCAGATCACCCAAATGCAGGCAGGAACATATGCTCCTCATGCAGACCTTCCTGGCTGAACTCCTCATGAGGCACATGGACAGTTTCATCTGGTTGTGGTGAAAACAGTGACAGCAGCAGCTGTTGAAAAAGTTGTATCAAATGGTTTAGGCCCTACCTTAAGCACAGGATTGGACTAGATGACCTCTTGACGCCCTAGTTTTTGATGTTTCTATGAACAACACCATGGGTGCCCCAACAGTGCAGCATTAAACCCCATAAATTGTAGTCAACTGAAAAAAAATTGAGAACCCGTGAGGTAAGCTGAGGAAGCACAACAGTGGTTCTCAACTGGGATGTTACCAAATTCAAAAAAGTTATGGAAGGGATGCTCTGACTAAAAAGGTTGAGAACTACTGCCTTAATGTGTCCACTTCACATTTTTGCATATGCTGGGTGTATGATGAGGTGTGTCCCTAGAGAAGCATATTTTTAGGAGAGATTAACTGTGAAAAAATTCAATGGGCATTCTGTGAGGTGGTGTGGGCTAGAGTAGGGGTTGACAGACTACAGCCTGTTGAGCTTTCACATCTGGCCCTTAGATGTGGGGATTTGGTGGCATTTCACATGAAAGGGGCTTTCCCTGTGTTGGTGCAGCTGCAGGGGGATCCTACTGCCCACCTGCCTGTGACCCAGAATGGGTCATTCCAGCCTGCAGCCAGAAAAGGTTGCTGATTGTTGGGCTAGAGGACTCATGAATGCTGAATATTGTACATTTGGACTTCTTTTTCCTTAAAGAAAAGTCTCTGGGCAGTCTGGCCTTCTATTCCAACATCACTGAGTGGGATTTTCATTTGAAGTACTCTGTAAAGAAGGTGTTTTCTGTTCCCAGTGCTGTTTATACAGTTTTTAAGTAGCTCTGTAAGGCAAAAATGCACCAACAACATGGGCAGTAAGAGTTCACTTGGGTCCTGCTAGAACTGCAACCAACTCTCTGAACAACATAACCAGGGTTCGTCTTGTTTTTTCTTCTTTTGCCACCAGGATGCTTTCTTTTCTGGTTGCTCAGTGGCTGAGCATCATCAAGAAGGAACTCTCAATTCTTCCTGGGCAGTGGCCTGGTCATTATTTTGGTGTCTGATGATAGGGAAGACCAATGTTCAGATTCCCTCAAGAGGAGGTTGGCCTAAAACCTGGGTCTTCCAAGGCTCCCCTTTCCTCTAGTAGTGTTTCAGTCATTGACTGTAGGTCAAAAAGTGAGAAACATGCCAGCAACAAGCAGTTTCTCATCACGTTTTTTCAGTTGACTACAATGCATGTGGTTTAATGCTGCTGTTCATAATGGTGTTGTTCATAACCATAGAAAACTAGGACTTCAAGAGGTCATCTAGTTCAATCCTATACTCAAGAAAGGGCTTAAACCATTTGACAAAAGTGCTTGTCCATCCTATTCTTAAGAGCATTGCAAACAATCCCTTCATGTAACTACCAGACACAATGCCAAAACATCACAAATACCCTAACTTGTCACAGATAAAGCAGGCGGATGAAGACACTGTCAATGACTTGCCGCTGCAAGGACAGGAAGTAGTTTTAAAAATATGCTGAAGATATCTATATTGAACCATAATGGAGCATAAATTAATTTATAATCTCTGGGGCAGCAATGTATCACTTCTGAGCAATGTATAGGGACAAACCTAGTCACATACAACAGAACTGTAGCTTCAGAAGGCATTTAACCATGTGCAGGCTAATCAAACAATACAGAAAGTCATAGGGTGATGTAGATGCCTGAAAGCTGCATAAATGCCACTTTGTATCTTAGCAATAGCATAGAATTCTGCCCTATATGTCTAAGTGCAATCTTAGTCCACCCTGCTCAAGTCCCTGAAAAAATAATAACACATCTACTTTTGTAACATACCCCAATCTTAGCCTTAAGAATAAATCACAGAGGGTGTGTTTACATGTTGCCATATGGTGACATTGCTACGGCACTGTGCTTTACTACTTTCTTTTGGAAGTACTATAGCACAGTGCAATACAGGTGGTTACTGCACTGTGTGTACAGTGGATGGTTAGATTTTTGCCTCTACGTCAAGTGTGCCACTACAGCAATCTTGCCCTGGGTGGGGTAGGGGAGGCTGCGGCCAGCACCTCAGCTGGCCCTAGCAGCCTTACCTGGGGTTCTGCGGCCCTCCTGGGGCTCCAGCAGTGGCGATCTGGGTGTGCAGAGCCTGGCTAGAAGCTGGAGCTTGGCTCTGGTTTGGCAGGCTCCCATTTCAGGCAGCACACACTGCAGCCACGTGTGCCATGCTGCTTTTTTCAGCCATGGGTCTTTTTGACACCAGGATCTTCCGATGTAAAAAAACCTCCACTGGGCTGCAAACCACATGTGCATGCTCATTTGGACATGCCCTTTGAAGCCAAAATATTATTTGTGACACCTACTAGATCAGGGATGGGCAAAATGTAGCCCGCAGGCCAGATGTGGCCCACTAGGCCATTCTATCTGACCTGCAGGGCCCCTAAAAAATTTAGAAAATTAATATTTATATGCCCCTGGCTGCCTGTCATACAGCCCTCGATGGCTTGCCAAAACTCAGTAAGTGGCCCTCTGCCTGAAATAATTGCCCGCCCCTGTACTAGACGGAATACAATCTTGACCTGCATCTTAGTTAGAATTAATTTCAATTGCCTGGGTGACCTAAATCCTTGACATTACTTAACTTTTGAGTGTTCCACTTTGCAATCTTAATAATGTCCTTGTAATATATTTTCTACAAAAAATGCTGTTATTTTATATGGTGGTAACACATAGGTGTCCCTGATCCACTGTTCTGAGCATTATCCAAATAGCCAACAAAGAGCAGGCTCCTTTCCCAAGGAGCTTATAAACAGCGTCTGGTAAATTCTTAGTTCCTGTGCCCAGGATTCACTTATATTACACCATATCTTCTCCATTTGGCAGTGATGAAAGTTGTTGCTTTTGAAAGTTATGATCCTGAAAAGATCAGTGCAAATTTATCCCACATTTAGTTTCACTGGGCATGTCTACATGAGATATTTACTGTGCAATTGACTAATTAACTGTGTAGTACACATCTCAGCGCCTACACACGCGCCTCTATTAGGGCACACAAAATGAATAATCTCTGCAGCAGGGTAGTACTTGTAAATATAAATACTACCCTGCTGTGAGTTTTTTCATGTACAGAAGCACATATGTAGATACTGGCTGGCTGCCTGGGGCATAGGGTGCCTCAGTGTGGGGCTAGCCAGGAGGCAGTGCCTATGCTGAAGCACCCTCATGCCCCATCCAGCCCCTTCGCAGCACATGGAGCCTGGTCAGAGCATCCCTGACTTGACAGCCTGACTCCCTGGGTCCCCTGACAGCCCAGGCTATTCTGACCAGGCTCTATGTGCTGCTTATGAATAAACTCTGGAGCAAAATGCTCCGGAGATTTTTGCTCCCAGGTGCACATTCGAACAACCCGCTTGGGAGCAAAAAACTCTGGAGCAATAAACTCCAGAGTTTATTCGTGTACATTAATTGCATATGTAGATGTGCTCACTGAAGTCACATCAGAGAATCTAGGGCCAGATCCTTAGCCAGTGTAAATCAGCATTTCTCCTTAGGAGTTTACAGCAACTGAGGATCTGGCTTAATGTACAGTAACATCAAGACTAACATCAAAAGTGGCTACAACTGAGCCCATTGGAGCTTGCTTTAAAGTGCATGGCTCACTGCCGGCTACAAAATACTCAAGTAGTTTGTCTGCTCGGGGTTCTATGACCCTGTGGTTACACTGCTATCATTACCTGGGCTAGCTAGTTTAAACTTGGTTCAAGTATCTGAATCTGAGATTGAAGTCAGAAACTAAAACTACTCTCACCTTTTTGATGACACCTATAAGAGAAACTTCAAGTACATTCATACTGCTGCTGGCTCATACATGCTTCATTCTGTAGATACATAAAGGACTTCAAATTCTAGAGCTGTGAGCCTGGAAATGCAAGCATACTCCTCCGTTGCATTGTGACCTCGGTAATAATGCTTCTTCCCTGGGACAATTTATTTAGTAGAGGTGTGAACATGAAAGAACAGTTTCCCTATCAGATTCTGGAGTGAGCTCCCAGGGTTGGAAGATAGAAAAAAAACAGGATTTTCACTTGTAAACTGAGCAAACCTGGTGAAAAGCCAAGAAACACTGAATGTGGAGCTCCTGTGGGGCTATTTTAGTCACTTTCAGGGAAGGAACAAATTTGAAAGAAGAAGAAAATTAAAATAGATGAATAGACAAAGCTAAGCTAAGCCTGTGATTATGTGCTTCCCTGAAGTAGGCTGATGATTGTCACGGCTATTGCTTTTAAACAACTGCCCAACAGTAACTAATATTCCTGCTGTTTTGGTTTAATTTCTACTGCATATGATTTGTTCTGTAGAGAGGGCATAATTTTTGCTGTTGTTTGTTTACCTTTGCTTCTTAGAAAAAGTCAGTTTTGCACTACATAAGTTAATGAGTAAACTGTTTCATCATCAGTCTTTCTTTTTCTTTTTATAAACTGCAGCACATAAATGTCCAGTGGACCAGAGGGAGCAGTTGGAAGAAACCCTGCCTCTGATTTTGGGTCTGATATTGGGGTTGATTATTGTGATAACTCTTTGTGTGTACCATATCCATCACAAGCTGACAGCCAATCAAGTACAACTTCCTCGAGACAGATCTCAGTACAAACACATGGGATAGATGGTGGGATACATCAGAACTGACTGCTTATCAGGTAAAGGAAGCAAAAGCACTTTTTTTATAAATGAGGCCAAACTCTCTCTCTCTCTCTCTCTTGTTCTCTCTCTCTTTCTCTCTCTCTCTCGGCACATAGTGTAATGGCCAAACAGAGATGGAAACACTCTTAACATTTCAAAGCTTAACGGGAGCGCAAAATCCAGTTTGCAAACACACATGGGGAATATCACTCCCAATATTCTGCTCTTCACACATGCATTGCACTCCATTCCTGTGTGTAAGGAGGCCAGATATGGGAGTGAAGGTCCTTTTCTCAGAGTAGATTCAAGCAGCTCCAAGCTCCAAGCAGTAATTTAGTGTATTTATTATTAAGGGCCATATGCTGCATTCCTGTGTACCAGAAATTCCACTCAAGTCCATGAAAGCTCTGAAAGGAATCTAAGGTTGGTCCCAAAATGAATATTATATTTTGAAAAACTACAGGCCAGTGCCTCAGCTGTAAACTGGTGCATCTCTAGTGAAGTCAGAATTACTGATTTCAATCAGCTGAGTGACTGTCACACAGAGCTGGCCTTAGGGGTGGTTGAAGTGGGCAACTGCCCAGGGCACTGGGGTCAGGGTGGCGCTAGGAGGGTATTAGGGGGGCACCACGTGCACAAACACACACACACACACACACACACACTCTGGGGGTTTTGTGATCATTCCTGGGCTCAGCGGCAGCTCCAAGTGGGTACACAGGCAGCGGTGGGCCAGGCTGATAGCTGCCAGGTGGCTGCAGTGTGGTGGCTAGGGATGAGGATGAGCTGGAAATGGGGCCATCTGCCTGGGAAGCTGCGCTCCACTCCCCCCTTGCCACTTGCCTCTGCCTACCTGGGGTGGGGACACACTGGGGAAGGGGCACCAAGGAGGGGCACCAAAGTACAAGTTCACCCAGGACGACATTTTCCCTAAGGCTGGCTTTGCTGTCACATGTAAGGTTGAGTGAGGAAAGTTGGAGGGGGTGGGGGGGTTGCTGAATGATCCACACCTGAATTAAACTCCAGACCTGTGAATGCACAAAATATAGCGTGCCATGCTGCTGCAAGTCAATTGAGAATGCTTCTGGCTGGACATCCTGCACGTATCGTGATTGTCTTTGAAATGTTACATTGCTACCTGCAACCAAGGATTTCATAGCACAACGAAACAAAACTGTTCAAGTTACTATGCAGATTATTTCAGGTGTTATCTAGTGTAAGAGAAAATAAGAAAACCTGAAATCTATCAGTTCATGTAGAATGTTTTTTAAAATTAATTAAAATCTATAGGTACATAAAAATTAATTTGCCATCTTATTGTGTAATGACCTATGGTTTTCTATTAAGCACTGGACTGAAAGAAACCATAGTCATTTAGAAGACTCTGTGTAAGAATATTATTCTGCATGTAGAATAATATGAATTAGCTTTTATTTTGGCAGCATGTATGATACAATTGGTATTAAGAAGGTGTGATAATGGCTAGCTGTACTGTACTTTGTATGCTATAGCAAATGTCCATCTACTTTAACTGTTTTCTTGTTTGCACATTTTATAAAAACTAAGGGCCTGACCCCTTTCTCATTGTGGTGAATGGAAAGGTTCCCATTGGCTTCAGTGCAAATTCAGTAGGAGTCTGGCAGGCCTTAAATGAACATATTGTACAAACTTATACTTTTCTTATATTTACCTATTCTAAATGGCGACAATGGTATTATATCACTCTGAGAGTTCTCTACTGTAAATGATGTATTATGAGCCAAGAAATATATTCAGATGTTGAAACAACTTTGTGTGTTTCTTTTTAATAGGAAAAGTATATATAAGGTCATGAGAGCAGAACAAATTAAAGATGTAACACACAGCCACTTTAACATGTTGGGAGAATTGGGCTGCTATTATTATTGTTGTTGTTGCTATCAATGGTTGGATACAAACCCTCTCTGACTTACTCGGTCTAGTCCTTTAATTCTTCCATCACTTCCCTGGTATGAATAGGACTAGTCAGAGTGCAAATTGCTGCTCAGTGTAAAGGTGAGCCCATTATGCATGACAGATAACATGCACATTGCATATAACAGGGGTGGGCAAAATACGGCCTGCATTCCAGATCCAGCCCACCAGGCTATTCTATCTGGCCCACGGGGCCCCTCCAAAAACACTTATTACTGGCCCATGGCTGCCCCTCTGAAAGACAGTGGGAGGTGGGCTTTCAGAGGTTGTGCGACATTGGACTGAGCGGGCTCTGTGCTTCCACCTCTGTGGGGCTCCTGGAACTCCATCTGGGCGCCCCATGTGGAGGCACCAAGCATGATGGCACATGACTGGACAGCTGGTGAGTGGGGAGGGGAGCTCCTGCCTTCAGGAGTTGGGGGTGGGGGTGGGGCTTCTGGGTGTGGGGTTTGTGGGTGGTGTGGACCCCAGTTCCATGGTGCACAGCCCTTGCTGCTGCTGGCAGCAGCAGCAGCAGGCAGTAGGCCCTCAGGGCACTCCTAGCTTGCTGCAGGCAGAGCCACCTGGCAATGGGCTGGAAACAGACATGGGCAAACTGGGCAGCCATCTGGGGCCCAGACAGAAAGGGAGACTGAAAATGATAATTTTTTTCTGTTGTCTGATTATTATTATCATTATCTCTGGTGAAGGGGTGCCTGATAGTAAATGTTTGCCTTTGGCCACCAGGAGTCTAGATATGGCACTGCCCTCGTGGTGTACGGCTCCAGCTGCATCCTGGGAGCTGCACATGGTGGTATGGAGCCTGCCTGGACTGGCCCACTGCTGTGTGCCTTCAATCCAGACTGGGCTGGATGAGGGGCTCCTGGCACTGCAGGTGGGAGCTGTGCATCATTGGGCTGGACCAGGCTGGATCCATGCCTACACATGGGGCTTCCAGCACTCTAGCTGGGATCTGCATGTGGTGGCATGGAGCCAGCCCAGTCCGACCCAAAGGTGCATGACTCTCTCCCAGTCCGCGTGTCATTGGGCCAGGTGGGCTCCATGCCTCCATATGCAGCTCCCTGCTAGAGTGCTGGGAGCACCAAGTGGAGGGACAGAGCTGGCTCAGCCCAAACCGATGGTGCATGGCTCCTGCCTGCAGTGTCAGGTGCCATGGAGGCGGCCTGGTCTGATTTGAAGGTGCATGATAGTGGGATGGGTCAGGTGGGCTCCATGCCACCATGTGCAGCTTCTGGAATTCAGCTGGAGCTGCATGCTGCCCAGGGCCTCTGCCTGCAGTGGGCCAGGAGCACCCCAAGGCCTGCTGCCTGCTGCCTGCTGCTGCCACTGGCACCCCCCCGCCAGCCCCTCCAACAGCTCATGCCCATGCCCCCCACACCTGCTATATACCACCCTCCCACACATAATATACAAGAGTAAGACTTTATTTAGAGCTATTATGCAATCACCCATATACACACTATGCAAACACAAGTAAATCAGGACAAAAATCATTTTTAAAAATAGAATTAAAATATGCTATAGTAGGTGTTTGATTTTTAGTATATGATTTTTTTTCTAGTTCCAGGATGGCAACCCCCTGCCAAAAAGGAGTACTTCTGGGGGCAAATGGGGGGGAGACTTCCAGTGGTAAAGGTCAGGGGTTAGAGGTGGGACTTCCAGTCCGAAGATGGCAACCCAGGGACGGGGCACCTGTCATGGGGTGGGGCTACCCTTGAGGCCCTTGACAGCTCACCAAAAGTCATTAAGAGGCCCTGCAGCTGAAATAATTGCCCACTTCTGGCATATAAACAGATGGGCCCTGATTCAGTGTTGCCTTGCATTTTGTGTAGTCATGCACATCATTGCAAAGTGATGCCAAGTCAGAGTTGGGAATTCATTTTACAGCATTGTTAAGGTCATATACTTAGTTCAGGGGACCAGAGAAATGACTTAGTTGTATTTATGCTAAAAGATAAGGTAAAATTAATTATGTTGCATTAAGGGGACTGAGTGTCTTTGAAGGGGTCTGTAGATCAAAGGTGAAGCCAACACCTGACCAACTAGCATGTCAGTGCAGTTGTGGATGAGCTGGAAGAGTAGGCATCTCATACTATGAAACAGGGAGACAGCTGTATTCTGCATGAGCTGTGGCTTCTGCAGGACATTCCTGTTTAGCCCCATGTTGAGCTAGAGATGACAGTCATGGATGACATCAGCAGTATAGAATTTGAAATAAAAAGTCTGGAGACCTATAACCAGACACCATGGGCTTTTGCCCAATTTTGGCATTCTAGCACCAGATGGGAACCAAAAAAGCTCTTGTAAACTGCAGATTTCTTGCCTGAAGGGAGGACAAAATAGCTTCAATAGCAGAGGAGTGAAAACGCCTTTGGTAACACTCTCAAGATACATCCTCTAACCCACTAATGTCATCTCTGCCTTATTCAAATTCAGCTTCAGTGGGAACATCTACATGAGACGCTTACTGTGGAATTTCCTAATTAGCTCCACAGTACATGTCTGTCTACACATGCCGAGCTATTAGGCCAGAGTGAACTAATTAACTCTGCTGTAGGTTAATACTGCCTGATACAAGTATTATCTTATGGCAGAGTTATTTACTGTGCCACAACGCATGTGTAGATGGTGACTGGGGCTGGCTGGGGCACAAGGGGGCTATAGTGTGGAGCTGCCTGTAGCACTGAGGCTATGTGTAAACACTGCACTTGGGAGCAATAAACTCTGTTGCAATCTGTGCTGGAGTTTATTGCATTGTGCTAATTTCATATGTGGATGCACCCAGTCAGTCTGTTCTTGTCTATATCCCCTTCTTGGGCAGGACCCAGGGGATCAAAGAGATTGTATTTTCAAGTTCTGAGGAAACATCAAATTGCCTGAAAATGTTGCAAGGTTGTTGAGCAGAGAAGGGTAGTGATGGGGACCTTTCCATACAACTTGTGATTTGGGAAAAGAAAAACTAGAACCAGCCTGTCCCAAAGGTTTAATTTTGCAGTAGAGTGCTAAAGAAGATGGCCACAGTGGCGTTCT